ATGGGTGGTTGGGGGGTGTATGGAGGGATACATGGGTGGTTGGGGGGTGTATGGAGGGATACATGGGTGGTTGGGGGATGTATGGAGGGATACATGGGTGGTTGGGGGGTGTATGGAGGGGTATATGGGTGGTTGGGGGTGTATGGAGGGATATATGGGTGGTTGGGGGGTGTATGGAGGGATATATGGGTGGTTGGGGGGCGTATGGAGGGATATATGGGTGGTTGGGGGTGTATGGAGGGATATATGGGTGGTTGGGGGGTGTATGGAGGGATACATGGGTGGTTGGGGGGTGTATGGAGGGATACATGGGTGGTTGGGGGGTGTATGGAGGGATATATGGGTGGTTGGGGCTGTATGGAGGGATATATGGGTGGTTGGGGGAGTATGGAGGGATATATGGGTGATTGGGATTGTATGGAGGGATATATGGGTGATTGGGATTGTATGGAGGGATATATGGGTGGTTGGGGGGCGTATGGAGGGATATATGGGTGGTTGGGGGGCGTATGGTGGGATATATGGGTGGTTGGGGCTGTATGGAGGGATATATGGGTGGTTGGGGGAGTATGGAGGGATATATGGGTGATTGGGATTGTATGGAGGGATATATGGGTGATTGGGATTGTATGGAGGGATATATGGGTGGTTGGGGGTGTATGGAGGGATATATGGGTGGTTGGGGTCGTATGGAGGGATATATGGGTGGTTGGGGGAGTATGGAGGGATGGGTGGTTGGGGGTGTATGGAGGGATACATGGGTGGTTGGGGGGTGTATGGAGGGATATATGGGTGGTTGGGGGGTGTATGGAGGGATCTATGGGTGGTTGGGGGATTGTATGGAGGGATATATGGGTGATTGGGATTGTATGGAGGGATATATGGGTGGTTGGGGGGTGTATGGAGGGGTATATGGGTGGTTGGGGGGTGTATGGAGGGATATATGGGTGGTTGGGGGGTGTGTGGAGGGATATATGGGTGGTTGGGGGGTGTATGGAGGGATATATGGGTGGTTGGGGGGTGTATGGAGGGGTATATGGGTGGTTGGGGGTGTATGGAGGGATATATGGGTGGTTGGGGGTGTATGGAGGGATATATGGGTGGTTGGGGGGTGTATGGAGGGATATATGGGTGGTTGGGGGTGTATGGAGGGATATATGGGTGGTTGGGGGGTGTATGGAGGGATATATGGGTGGTTGGGGGTGTATGGAGGGATATGTGGGTGGTTGGGGGTGTATGGAGGGATATATGGGTGGTTGGGGGTGTAAGAGAGTCTGGGGAGGTTCTGTAGGGGAGTGAGGTGGGGGAGGAGGGTCTGAGGGGGTTATACGGAGGGTTGTACGGGAGGTTATATGTGGGGTTATATGTGGGGTTATATGGAGAATTATATGTGGGGTTATATGTGGGGTTATATGGAGGGTTATGTGTGGGGTTATATGGAGGGTTATGTGTGGGGTTATATGTGGGGTTATACGGAGGGTTGTACGGGAGGTTATACGGGGGGTTATATGGAGGTTTATATGTGGGCTTATACACAGGGTCTGGGGCATATATGTGGGGTTATATGGGTTGGGGGGGACAAAAGTATTTGAGGGCTTATATGTGGGATCGGGGACTGTAGGATCTGGGGGGGATTTTATAGGAGTTTGGGGGGCAGGAGGGTCTGGGGGGTTATATTGGGGTTTGGGGGGCAGGGGGGGTCTAAGGGGTTCTAGATGGGGGTCAGGGGCAGTATGTAGGGGTGTTATATGGGGGACCGGGAGGGTGTTAGGTAGGGGTTCAGGGACAGCAAGGTATGGGGGGGGGGTGGGACCAGCAAGGTTGGGGAGACTGGAAGCAGCATCTGGGGAGTCTATGGGAGATCAGGGGGGCAAGAGGGTCTGTGGGGTTCTGGATGGAGGCTTGGAGGTCAGCGGTGTCTGCGAGGGCTTCTGTGGAGGTTGGGGGGGGGCAGCAGGGGCTGGGGCTTTATAAGGTGGGGTGGAGCAGGAGGGGTTATGAGGGTGTTGAGGGCAGCATTTAGGGGGTTATATGGGGTTTAGGGGGGCAGGAGGGTCTGGGGATTACAGATGGGGGGTCAGGGGTGGCATTTAGGGGGTTATATGGAGGGTTGGGGAGTCTGAGGGAAAGCGTGTAGGATGGGGGGGATTATATGGGAGATGGGGAGGGCAAGAGGTTCTGGAGGGTTATAGATGGGGGATTGATGAGGGATTATATGGGAGGCCATGGGAGCAGCAGGGCTTTACGGGATGGGGGTCACGGCCAGCAGGGTTTGGGGGGTCCTGTGTGTGCGGGGACAACCAGGCCTGACGTCCCCTGCACCATCCCTGTCCCTCGCACAGCTCTGCTCCCTGCCCGGGAGGGCTCTGTGCCGGCGGTGCCTGGGCCTGGCGCTGCTGCAGCGTGGCTACCGAGGGGATTCCCCATCGGAATCCGGGAAGGATTTGCTGGAGATCCCATTGCCCCCATGGCAGGAGCGTCCGGACGAGCCCCTGGAGACCAAGAGAGCCCGGCTGCTCTATGAGAGCCGCAAGAGGGGGATGCTGGAGAACTGCATCCTGCTCAGGTGAGCTGCGGGCTCCTCGTCCTCCAGCCCTGCTCCTTTGGGTCTGCTCTGTCCCCAGGGTGCCCTGGCACTTTGTGCCCTGCAGATAGGGTCAGGGATGAGAGAATCAGCCCTGGAGAGCTGAGGGGGAAAAGCTGCTTGAGGTGAGCTCTAGTTCAGCTCCCTGAAGGTATCTCCGAAGGTTTTTAGGTAACATTGGCACTGGGGAGGCTGCACCTCGAATCCTGTGCTCAGCTCTGGGCCCCTCACTGCAAGAGAGACCTTGAGGTGCTGGAGCAGGGCCAGAGAAGGGAACGGAGCTGGAGCAGGGCCTGGAGCCCAGGTGTGATGGGGAAGGGCTGAGGGACCTGGGGGGTTCAGTGTGGAGAAGAGAAGGCTCAGGGGGGACCTGATGGCTGCCTGCAAGTGCCTGAGAGGAGGATGGAGCCAGGAGGGGCTGGGCTCTGCTCCCAAGGAACAAGGGATGGGACAAGAGGAAACGGCCTCAAGCTGCCCCAGGGCAGGTTTAGATGGAGCTGAGGAACAATTCCTGCCCCAGAGGGTGCTCAGGCATTGGAACAGGCTGCCCAGGGCACCGGCCCTGCAAGTGTTCACACACCGTGGAGACGAGGCCTCGGTGCCATGGGTTAGTGGTGGGGAACGGTTGGACTGGATGATCCTAAAGGTCTTTTCCAACCCAGTTGATTCCAGGATTCCATGAAGAGCCCTGAGCGTTGTAGCAAAGTGTTTGGTGGGGTGCTCAGTGCGCAGCTGGAATCCAGACCTCGGGAGATGGGATGTTGCTTGGAGGATGGCTGCTGACCTGTTGGACCGATCACTGCAAGAGCTTTGCTCTGGTCCATGCTGGATGCAGTGATCAGTGCTGCAGGACAGGGTGAGGCAGAGCCAGAGGCATGTGAGGAAGCTCCTGGCTGATGTTTGAGCCAAAATCCTTCGGGAAGGATATATGCAATCCTTTGGGATGTACAGACCAGGCACGGCCGGTTGTGTTTTGGGACTTGAGGAGTGTTTAATGGAGAGGAAGTCTTTTGGCCAAGCTCCTTCGTGTCTTCCAGCACCGTGCTGGGTGCCAGCCTGGCTCTTCTTCCCATCATCCCAACGCATCCTCCCCCATCCTCTCTGCAGCCTCTTTGCAAAGGAGAACCTGCACCACATGAGTGAGCACCAGCTGAACCTCTACGACCGCCTCATCAACGAGCCCAGTAACGACTGGGACATCTACTACTGGGCCACAGGTACGGAGCAACTCCCTCCTGCCCTGCCCTGCCTGTCCCATCCCTGGTGGGATGAGTGTGGGTGCCTCGGGAGAGGACACAGCCCTTCCTTTACTGCCCTTTCCTCTTGGTACCCCAGAAGCAAAGCCCACCCCGGTGGAGTTTGAGAGCGAGGTGATGGCCAAGCTGCGGGACTTCGCCAAGAACAAGAACAGGGAGCAGAGGCTGCGGCAGCCGGACCTGGAATACCTCTTTGAGCCCCCCCGCTCACAACAGTGATGCTGCTGCCCTCCCTGGGGCCCTCCTCCTCCAGCAGCTCCTTTAGACTCTCAGGTCATGCTGAATAAAGCTGTGGCTGCTCCTGGCTGCACTGTGAGCTCAGGGCTCTGCTCTTTGGCAGCGTTCAGGAGGGAGGTGGTGGAATTCCACGTGCCAGCTCATTGCTGCCTCCAGCTCCTACCTGTCCCTTTGAAACCCCTTTTCGGGGGGACCTGGGGGAGGTTGGAGTGGGGCATCCTGCTCCTCGGTGCCCTCAGTGGGGTGGCACAGCGACAGCGGAACCCAAGCAGCGGTGGCATTGTGTGACCGAGCCGTTACTAGGAGACACTGTCCCCAGGAGACACTGTCCCCAGGAGACACTGTCCCCAGGAGACACTGTCCCCATCATAACGTCCCCTTCCACAAGAGCATTCCGTAGGCTCCAGACCTTCTGGTCAGCAGGGAGCTGCTCTCCAGAAGAGCCGCACCATGGAGGATGCTTGTCCCTTTGCCTGTCACTGCATCGAGCCGCAGTCCATGCGGATGGACACTCTGTCCCCTTCAGAGAAGGCACTCGCCGGGGGGAGCTCCGACCTCATGGACTTCTATGCCACAAACTACCCCGTGGCTCATGGTAGGGGGGCCCAAAACCTTCCCTAAAAGTGGAGTGGGCTCATTCCCAAAGCTCATCCCTCTTTCCCCGCTGTCACCCAGGCCAGCCAGGCTTCAGTCCCCAGCTCGGCCACCACACAGGCACTGGCTCCGTGACCGACAACCACTCAGCCATGTCCTGCCTGCTGCACCCACACAGTGTAGCAGAGGGGTAGGTGCCTTTGCCTATGGGTTGGGGGGGGGGATGACAAAGAGGACAAGTTTCGGGGCCGCTCCATCACATCCATGTGGCTTCCCACTGCAGCCACTGCCAGGATGCCATGGCCACCACTGCTGAGCACTTCAAGCCCCTCTGGCTTCCCAATGGCAGGAGCATCCTGCCCTGCCACATCCACAAGCCACAGAGTGGCTACCTGCAGGAGTGCCCCCCTTCCTGCCTCCGTGCGGGGATGGTGAGTCCCCAGCACATGAGGCTCCAGCAGAGACGGCCCAGACTAAGGGAGAACCGCTGCACCGATCCTCTCCAGCCAGGTATGGATTTGGGGTGCTGGTGGTCCCTGCACAAGCTCCATCCCCAGGGCGGTTTAGGGGTGTTGATGGTCCCAGGGCCAGCTCCATCCCCAAGAAGGTTTTGGGGTGATGGTCATCTTGGGGTCAGCTCCATCCCCATGGGGATTTAGGGTGTTGGTGGTCCTGGGATCAGCTCCATCCCCATGGGGATTTAGGGTGTTGGTGGTCCTGGGATCAGCTCCATCCCCGTGGGGATTTAGGGTGTTGGTGGCCCAGGGATCAGCTCCATCCCCATGGGGATTTAGGGTGTTGGTGGCCCAGGGATCAGCTCCATCCCCATGGGGATTTAGGGTGTTGATGGTCCTGGGATCAGCTCCATGCCCATGGGGATTTAGGGTGTTGGTGGTCCTGGGATCAGCTCCATCCCCATGGGGATTTAGGGTGTTGGTGGTCCTGGGATCAGCTCCATCCCCATGGGGATATGGGGTGTTGGTGGTCCTGGGATCAGCTGCATCCCCATGGGGATTTAGGGTGTTGGTGGTCCTGGGATCAGCTCCATCCCCATGGGGATTTGGGGTGTTGGTGGTTCCAGGACCAGCTCCATCCCCATGGGGATTTAGGGTGTTGATGGTCCTGGGATCAGCTCCATGCCCATGGGGATTTAGGGTGGTGGTGGTCCTGGGATCAGCTCCATGCCCATGGGGATTTAGGGTGTTGGTGGTCCTGGGATCAGCTCCATCCCCATGGGGATTTAGGGTGTTGGTGGCCCAGGGATCAGCTCCATCCCCACGGGGATTTAGGGTGTTGGTGGTCCTGGGATCAGCTCCATCCCCATGGGGATTTAGGGTGTTGGTGGTCCTGGGGTGAGCTCCATCCCCGTGGGGATTTGGGGTGTTGGTGGTTCCAGGACCAGCTCCATCCCCATGGGGATTTGGGGTGTTGGTGGTCCTGGGATCAGCTCCATCCCCATGGGGATTTAGGGTGTTGGTGGTCCTGGGATCAGCTCCATCCCCATGGGGATTTGGGGTGTTGGTGGTTCCAGGACCAGCTCCATCCCCATGGGGATTTGGGGTGTTGGTGGTTCCAGGACCAGCTCCATCCCCATGGGGATTTGGGGTGTTGGTGGTCCTGGGATCAGCTCCATCCCCATGGGGATTTAGGGTGTTGGTGGTCCTGGGATCAGCTCCATCCCCATGGGGATTTGGGGTGTTGGTGGTCCTGGGATCAGCTCCATCCCCATGGGGATTTAGGGTGTTGGTGGTCCTGGGATCAGCTCCATCCCCATGGGGATTTAGGGTGTTGGTGGTCCTGGGATCAGCTCCATCCCCATGGGGATTTGGGGTGTTGGTGGTCCTGGGGTGAGCTCCATCCCCATAGGGATTTGGGGTGTTGGTGGTTCCAGGACCAGCTCCATCACCAAGAGGCTTTTGGAGTGCCAGTGGTCCCAAGACCAGCTCCAACTTGAGGGTGTTTTGGGGCATTGGTGGATCTTTGACCCCAAGGAGGGTTTGGGGACCCCCTGACCTGTATCACCCATCCCTGTGCATCCCCAAACACAAGGGTCCCCCAGGCCCTGTGACACCAGTTAATGCCATGGCATGGACACTGTTGGGGACAGGACTGGAGACAATGGGACTCCCTCCCTGCCCTCCTGCTCCCCACAGATACCCTGCAGAAGGTCACCCTTGGCACCAAGGAGCCATCAGGCTTCACCAAAGGCACCAAGAGGACCGACTCCTTCCTGCCACCTCTGCCAATCCAGCAGGGCCAGCCCGTGAGCACCCTATGGGACACTTCTCTCCCTCCCAGTCCCCTCCACTCCCATTTGCACCCCATGGGACACTTCTTCTCTCCCCACAGCTCAGCGTCAGCCTCACCACAAGGGATTACCTGCCCTCTGTGCGCAGCCACGTAAGTGGGCCGAGGGGACGGGGTGACGAGGGGACACCCCACGGAGGTGTCATCACCCCCTTATCCCCTTCCATCCTCCTGCAGGGCAACGAGACGCTCCCAACGCTGCCACCAGCCTCCAAGCGAGGCAGCAGCTTCACCCGGGAGGGACCGAGCTGCCTGGGCAGGGTGGTGAGCAGCATCCCATCCCGTTGTCCATCCCCATCCCTCTGTGTCCTCCTCATCCTCACCCGCTGTCCCTACACAGGTCTTGCCCACGCTGGGACACTCAGCATCCCTCGTCTCCCGAGGGCTGGAGGCAACCCGAGAGACCCAGGCCAGGCTGCTGGGCAGGCAGGCTGCTGGCAGGATGATGGGTGCGTGGTCCCATCCCTATCCCCATCCTCATCCCATGGGAACGTGTTCCCAACTTGCCTCCATCCCACAGGAGCCATCAGGGTACGCCACTAACTATGGCCAATGTGTGACCAGCTGCCTAACCCCATCCCCTGCAGCTCCAGGTGAATTTGGGGTGGCCATGGGGGGGGGTGGTGGTTTGCAGCCCCCAAAGAGGGGGTTCCAGCTTTACCACCCCATCCATGATATTCCAGCCCGGGATGCAACCTGGATAGCGAGACCCTTTGATGGAATCCAGCCCCAGCATCCCAGCGGCTTCAGCACCAACAACCACCCCACAAGGCTGGGGGACGTCATTGACCACCTCCTGGTGTGATGCCCCCCGTTGCCCCACCTTTAGGAGTAACCCCAGCTTCATTGTTGATCCCCAAATCCCTGGAAGTTCCCTTTCTTCCCACGTGGAGGAATAAAGACTGCAAAGCAACCTTCTTGGGCATAACGCCATTGGCATTGTCACTCCCATAGAGGGGTGGTGGCTGCTCACAGGCATCGTTTGGGGGGCTGCCTGCACCCCAAAGGTGAGCAGGAGGATCTGGGGCGGGGGAACTGGAGGTGCTGTGTGGCCGACAGCCACTGGAGGGCTGTATGAGCCCGGCTTATCCGAGCTGCCTTTGGGATGACACAGCTGATTTCAGGCAGGGAAAAGCAGGCAAGGCTGGCTGGGGTGGGCAGCGAGAGGAGGAGGAAGGTGGCAGCTGTGCCATGGGGTTGTCACTTGCGGGTTTCATCCGTGCCCTCCATGGCCTTGGGGCACTAACAAGGCTTCGTGGGGTGCAGCAGCACCCAGGGGTGCCAGGGGGTGTGGGTGATAACAGAAGGACCCCCCCCACCCGCCCATAGCCTGGTACCCAGGGAGGTGCTGAGCCTGATAGAGGGACCCAGCAGGGGAAGGGGCAACGTGGGCACAGGCAGATGATGGACAGGGAGCTAGGAGAGAGGAGCAAGGCGCTGCTGCTGCCTGGGGTGGGGACAGGTGGGATGCAGGCAGGAGTGAGGCAGAGCACAGGCAGGGCAGAGCAATGGTGGGGCAGGGTGAGGTACAGGCAGGGGGTGACAGCAATGGTGGCACAGAATGGGGTACAAAAAGGGCACAGGCAGGGCAGAGCAATGGTGGGGCAGGGTGAGGTACAGGCAGGGGGTGACAGCAATGGTGGTGCAGAATGGGGTACAAGAAGGGCACAGGCAGGGCAGAGCAATGGTGGGGCAGGGTGAGGTACAGGCAGGGGGTGACAGCAATGGTGGTGCAGAATGGGGTACAAGAAGGGCACAGGCAGGGTGAGGTACAGGCAGGGAGGGGCAGCGTAGAGGCAGGGCAGAGCAATGGTGGGGCAGGGTGAGGTACAGGCAGGGCATGACAGCAATGGTGGTGCAGGATGGGGTACAAGAAGGGCAGAGGCAGGGCAGAGCAATGGTGGGGCAGGGTGAGGTACAGGCAAGGGGTGACAGAGCAATGGTGGTGCAGGATGGGGTATGAGAAGGGCACAGGCAGGGCAGAGCAATGGGGCAGGGTGAGGTACAGGCAGGGTGAGACAGAGTAATGGTGGTGCAGAATGGGGTACAAGAAGGGCACAGGCAGGGTGAGGTACAGGCAGGGAGGGGCAGCGTAGAGGCAGGGCAGAGCAATGGTGGGGCAGGGTGAGGTACAGGCAGGGCAGGACAGCAATGGTGGCACAGAATGGGGTACAAGAAGGGCACAGGCAGGGCAGAGCAATGGTGGGGCAGGGTGAGGTACAGGCAGGGCATGACAGCAATGGTGGTGCAGGATGGGGTACAAGAAGGGCAGAGGCAAGGCAGAGCAATGGTGGGGCAGGGTGAGGTACAGGCAGGGGTGACAGAGCAATGGTGGTGCAGAATGGGGTACAAGAAGGGCACAGGCAGGGTGAGGTACAGGCAGGGAGGGGCAGCGTAGAGGCAGGGCAGAGCAATGGTGGGGCAGGGTGAGGTACAGGCAGGGCAGGACAGCAATGGTGGCACAGAATGGGGTACAAGAAGGGCACAGGCAGGGCAGAGCAATGGTGGGGCAGGGTGAGGTACAGGCAGGGGGTGACAGCAATGGTGGTGCAGAATGGGGTACAAGAAGGGCACAGGCAGGGCAGAGCGATGGGGCAGGGTGAGGTACAGGCAGGGTGAGACAGAGCAATGGTGGCACAGAATGGGGTACAAGAAGGGCACAGGCAGGGCATGACAGCAATGGTGGCACAGAATGGGGTACAAGAAGGGCACAGGCAGGGCAGAGCAATGGTGGGGCAGGGTAGAGGCAGGGCAGAGCAACGGTGGCCCAGGGTGAGGTACAGGCAGGGCGATGATGGCCCAGAGAGGTACAGGCAGGGCCCTCGGGGGGGGGGGGGGCGTGGCCTCGGCGCAGGTATCCCCGCCTTCCCATTGGCGTTGCCGTGGCGACGGCGTTGCCCTCGTTGCGATGGGCAGCGGCGGCTCCGCGGGCCGCGGGGCTCGGGCGGCCGTGGCCGAGGGCCCGGACGGGGCTGAGCAGCGGGTGCCGGTGCGGGCAGGCCGGGTCCCGGCCGGGCTTTGGGCTCAGCGGGAGCTGCGGAAGCTTTACCTGAGCGGGGCCGGGCTGCGGGACGTGCCCGCCGAGCTGGCGGCGCTCCGGCACCTCCGCACGCTGGCGCTGGACGGCAACGAGCTGATGGAGGTGCCCGAGGCTCTGTGCCGCTTGCCCTGCTTAGCGCATCTCTACCTGGGCCGCAACGGGCTGCAGGGGCTGCCGCCAGCCTTCGCCCGCCTGCAGAGCCTGCGCTGCCTGTGGCTGGAGGGCAACTTCCTGGCCCGCTTCCCCGGGGCCCTCCTACGCCTCCCCGAGCTCCGCAGCCTGCAGCTGGGGGACAACCGCTTGTCCCGGCTGCCCGCGGCGCTGCCCCGCATGGCCGGGCTGCGGGGGCTCTGGCTCTACGGGAACCGCTTCGAGGAGTTCCCCCCGGCGCTGCTGCGCATGGGGCAGCTCCGCGTCCTCGACCTGGATCGCAACCGCATCGCCCGCTTCCCCGACCTCAGCGGCCTCGCCGCCCTGCGCCTCTTCTCCTACGACCACAACCCCGTGCAGCGGCCGCCCCGCGTCGGGGATGCCGTGAGGCTGGTGGGGAACGGGGCGCAGGAGTTCATGGAGGCGAGGCAGGAGCGCCTGGAGAGCCTCCAGCGCCAAGAGGAAGAAGAGGAGGAAGGCGCCGAGGCCCCACCGGTGGCTCCCCGCGATGGGTCGCCGCTGCTGGAGGACGGGGAGGGTGGATCCGCAGCCCTGCCGGGCTCCCCAGGGGAAACGTGAGCCGCCGCGCTGCAGCCGGACACCCGTAGGGAAGCACCGCAGAGGGATGCGCAGCCCCGGGCAGGCTCCCAAGGACCAGCATCTCCCAGCTGGGGCTGGGGAAGAAGGAAGCTCACGGCCTCCATGCAATGAAAACAGCCCCAGCATCAGCATCTCCCTTGGGACAGCAAAGAGCTGTCTCATGGTTCTACACTGGGATCCACAAACGCACCTTGGAGCATCCCATTAACCACAGCGTGCCTTGGATGGGGGAAGCAGCCGTCTCCCCCGATGGGTGACCCCATGGACCCCACCACCTGCCTACGGGGCAGGTCCTGGTGGGCAGCAAGGTGCTGCTGAGAGCTGGGCATCCCCATGGACGTGGGGACCTTCTGCAGCCACCGCAACACCCCCATGGGTATCCTTTGCTCCCGGCTCTGTGGGGCAGGACAGGTAAAGCAGCGCTGTTTGCACCCGATCTGTGGACCCCATCGACCTGAAGAGCAGCAAGGTTGGAGAGCAAGCGCATGGACCACTTTTCACCCCCAATCCCTCATCCTGCTGCTGGAATTGGGATGGGGAGAGAGTGAACTCCCTGCTGGGGTCCTCCTGGGCCTGTCTTAAGCCTGGAAAGGGTTTTACCTCAGTACAGGAAAAGGAGCCCCAGCTCCAGCTCTGTCTGCCCCAAAACGGGCACCAAAGCCAGGGCCTGCCTCCTCGTCCTTCCTCTTCCCTTCCCCGAGTGCTCTTTGTACTAAATTCAAGCAATAAAAAGCACAAACCCAAAGAAACCTGGTGTGAGAGGCAGGGCATGGGCCCGTTCTGTGGGATAGGGTCTGTTTAGGACCCACTTGGAATACAGCAGCCCCTCCTTGTGCAGGAGCCCCTCTTGTTGCTGGCATCGAAGGGAGCTCTGCTTCCCTCTGCCTGTCTCCAAGCCGCAGCAGGAGCTCAGCCACACCAGCACCATTGGGAGGGCTGGAGGTTCCAGACCATGCATCCGCTGGTGATCACAAGGGGGTTTGGGGTTGGTGGCTGGGAGGCAGCCAATGCTCCCACCACATCCTCTCCCATGCCGATGGGATGGATGCTGCTGGGCTCTCGCCCTCCCCGCCTGCTCTGTGGTGGAACCACAGCTATTTCGGATGTGCTGGAGCAGCCGCATCCAGGCCGGTGCCAGCCCCTCCGGCAGCAGAGGCTGATGGAGCCCCTGACTTCCCAGCAGCAAGGTGGCCCCGTTCCCAATCCCACTTCAGGATGCTGGATCTGGCAGGTCTTATCCCCCAAATCCAGGTCCAGATACAGGCTCTTGGTCCCTGTTGCCGTCCAAGCAGCCTTCACTGCTGTGGGTGGGAGTGGGCATGGGGCACCCCCAGCCCCATATGCGGCACCCTGGGGTGCTGACACAGCAATGGGGGGCTCCCGGCCCTCGGGGTCATGCCATAGATCCTGGGGTGCATCACCCCATGGAGCGCTGGTGTTGGCAGAGGCTCCAAGCTCCAGCTATAAGATGGGAGTTCCTGCATTCCACATCCCTCCTGCTCCCACCACCTCCATGCAGACCCTTATCAAGCAGTCCATGCTTGCAGGGCGAGGGTAAAGGTGGCCTGGGTACCACCAGCCTGCTCCTGCAGGCAGATCCCCAAGCTCTGACCCATGGGATGGGGATCCCTGCATCCCTTTCCCACTATTCCAGCCTCAGTTTTCACCTTCTGGCTTGGGAAAAGAGCAAGGTCTGGGTCCAGGCACTACAGGAGCCAGGAGCTGCTGCAGTCAGCAGGAACCTCACCCGCTCCTGCTACACACAAATACCTTGGGATGCTGGTGCGCGCAGTGCATCATCCATACGTCTGTCTCTATATATATCCCTGCCCACTCCCCATCCCCGGGTACAACAGCTCACGGCCTCAGCGCAGCTGGGATCACGCTGCTATTCCCATCTGCTCCCGACAAACACAAAGGAAGAGGCTCGGGAACGGGGCTGGCTCCGTGCAACAGGAGCACCGGGATCGCGGCGCCAGGCCAAGCGTGGATGCTCTGTGCTGCGTCCAAGGATGGAGCGTGCTAAAACAAGGCAAGGCTCAGTGGCACTGGTGCCGTCTATAGCTTGGTAGTGCCAAAGAGTCCCGGACTGGTGCAAACCAGAGCCCAAAGGGGGGGAAGCAGCAG